TGTAGAAATTCTTGATGTTCCCTTTCTTTTCTCATGAGTTCTAACTTATTTTTGCTGTTGCTTATATATGCTTTACTTAGGAATTAATATAGATGAAATGTAGACTTTTTCCCAACACACAGGTTATTAAAACTAATTGTTGTGTTTGATTCTTTGACTGTAGGCTATGGTGGCTTGTTACCCAGGCAATGGAACAGGATATGTGCGCCATGTTGATAATCCAAATGGAGATGGAAGATGTGTTACCTGTATATATTATCTTAATAAAGACTGGGATGCCAAGGTATGCAATAATTTCTTCCTTTTTTTTTTTTTTTTTTTTTACATATTCTTGCTAAATACACCTTTGCTACAGGTCTTTGTTTATGTCGTTATTCATGTGCCTTAGTTTTGTTCTTACACTATGTTAACTGTGGGTATCCTTTACCCCCCTGATTTTGCTGTTAGTGAGAATAAATACAGATGAGGAATTTATTTTCAAGGCTTTGAATGATGCCAGGAGGGCCTCCTTGGCAGTGAGAATGAAGAGAAGTTGCATGTTTTTCATGTATGATTCTTAATTTTATGTATAAGTATCTGCTAGTATCCAAGTTTCATAAATATCTAATTATACACTTACTGTATATTGTCTGGTAAAGACTCGCACAACAGTATGCAAAAGTAGATAAAGAATATGTGTAATTTTATGGCTTTTAGTTTTTCTTCTTACATTTCTATTGAATACTGAGTTTACTGTTTGTGCAACTAGATTGTTTAGTTGAGCGTGCTTATAAAAAGAAAGATGTAGCTTGGGAGCAGTTTCAGATAAGCCAAGTGTTGTAGCTGTTGCTATATCAATATAGTTCAAAGCAGCACAAAGGTTTTTATCATTGTAGATACAGGGTGTAGAATAGATGAGGATTTATAAAACAGCTCAAGTGATCTAAAAATTCACTACCAGTGACTCAAAACTCTCCACAGATGTAGGGACTATGATAAAGGAACTTCTTAATAGGAATTTTCCTAGTGATTCAGTGGGATTAGGTGGATCTGAAGGATGAGCATAGCTGACTGACTATGTTGAAAGCATGAGAGGGTCATACGAAGATAGTTTTGTTTATTCCCTTGATTGCTGCTGTGCAGTTAGCTATGGAGAAACTTAAAGATAAAACTGCTTGTACTTGTGTCATATTTAGGAAGTAACATGTGGAAGTGCACGTAAGCAGTTGTTCTCTCTGAATTGGGTGCACCAGATATGGATAACATAGGTTATAGGTTGCAGCTGGGTTTTTTTTTCCATGTCTCACCCTCCCGCTTGAGTGCTCTCCATTTCTTACAAGAGCTGGATGAGACAGTGGGTGTGATAACATACTCACATAAAACTGGTAGTTTGGAAAGCTGAAGTGAAGGACTTGAAGCTTTCGGGTTTTGACTTCCTCTTTGAAATGTCAAATTTGATTTTTCAATTAGAAAATAAATTACTAGCCTTTTTTGCCATGATAGCTTTTTCACATAAGTGCACAGGTTGGATCGAATGTCTTAAAATGCACTTTTGGGGCATTTTTAGTTGATTTACTGTTTCTCTCCTAGAAAAAAATGAATACATACCAGAGGGTAGAAGTCAAGCAAATTGCATTTTCACAGTAAAACTGTGAAAAATTTACTAGGTGGATATTTAATTTACGAACAAAGGTATTTCATTTCCTGCAAAATCTATTTTAAATTCCAAATGAATATATTACCAATTATAGCAGTTAGCAGAAGAAAGAAGCTCAAAGTTTCTTTAGGAGAACAAATCTAAATTTTCAGGTTTTGTTGGCTGATTTAGATCACAATTGAAAACCAGTCATTTATATCAATTTACTTTGTTAGTAATTACACGGTTATGATTTTCCTATAAAGGCCTTTGATAGCTGTCTGTAGTTAGCTTTAAGAACATGAATGCATCAGTAGGAAGAAGTTAAATGTGACTTCAGAAATAATTAACTGCACCTATTTATGCTGTTTTCTAGGAATGCATAGGTAGGTCCAGCTGGTTAGAAGCCCTGAAGAGTTCTAAATTGATGAGAAGTAATAGAGATTCAAGATTTAGTTTGAAGGTTTCCTTGTCTTTCCTCATCTTAATTACAGAAACATGCCATAAAATGTTGTTAAATGAACCAGTCTTTTTAATGGGAAAGCATAAAACTCAAATGTGAAATAAAATGTTTCTCTCACCAGTGTTGTCATATTTTTGGCCATCTGTGTAGTATCAGTCTTGTCCATTTTTTGCGACTAGGTAATGCAGCTAAAAAAAACCCCAACAGTCTAAACCCACAGCTTTTTACATAGCTTAAAGATGAGTGGAGGCTTAATATTTGCAAGCATTCTGAAATTATTCAGAAATGTGCAGAAAAATGTGCAAAATGTTTTGTTAAATGACACATATCAACAGAAAGCCATAAATTCATAATTTCTGTAGCATCTGATAAAGGCTTTTATTTCAGTCCCAAGTATCTGAAATATTTTCAAATGTGGCATTCAGTACTTTAAAATACAATGAGACATTGCTTTCAAGCTCTGGTTAAAAATACTTCATTTGCAGGTAAGTGGAGGCATCCTTCGGATATTTCCAGAAGGTAAAGCCCAATTCGCTGATATTGAACCCAAATTTGATAGACTTCTATTCTTCTGGTCTGATCGCCGCAACCCTCATGAAGTACAGCCAGCATTTGCTACAAGGTACGACTCTCTATGTGCTGCATGATGCCTCTTGTATCAGGAAATGAGTGAATCCTAATGAGAAATGAGTGACACAGTGAATGACCTGAACCCAGATCTCAACAGAGAGCAACTGGAACTGTATATGAAGAGAGACTTTTTTCTGTTTACCTGCTGAGTCTCTACTGATGTTTAATCTCTTTATTTTGGAGGAAACATCCTCTTGAATGGATAGGAGGGAGGACTGGAAACACTAAAAGTTTGTGTGTGTTTGGCAGAGCCATAAGCAAACCCCACCTTAGCCAAGGTGGACTGTCTTCATTATTCCTCTGTGGAGGCTTTACACTCTTCTCCTTGGCACCATGCTGTGTTACTGGAAACTTGACTAGGTGCTTCAGTGTTATGCCCCTTCTTGTTGGGAAGTAGTAATTAGAAAATAGTCAAACTAAGACACCACATTCTAGTTTGGCAATTGGGAAAGGGCTGTGGAGCAGAAAAGACCATTGATAAATAAATATTTTCTTTCTGTGGAGTATTAAAGGAATTGCTCCCAGTCAGAGTCACAGGGGGAACTTGATATCTTTTGTCCCTCAGTGTAGGACAGTGAATGATACTAAAGGCAGCATTCACTGCCCCAGCATCTTGAGTGGCATTTTCAGATAGCATTAAAAGGTAAATCATTGGAGTCATTGTTCCCGCTTGGTGTTGCCCATGTCACAACATGTTTGGATGCACAGAGCACTAAACATTGTCTGGAGCTGTAAGGTAACACAAGTACCTTTGCAAGAAGTAACTTGAAATTGCCATCAGCATGTCCTCTTGCAGCCTTTTGGGAGGTTGTACAGCTCTCCCCTCCCTCTTTGTGCTCCAAGTAGAGTCAGAGTATGAAATGCCATTTACTAAAGCTCCTTAAAGTCTTTTCTCAATAGCTGGCATTTCATATTTAAATCCTGTATGGGCAGTGGAAAACCAGAGGAGCTGTGTAAGAAGAGCTAGTTAATTTTCCCTTATGGTGAATGTCCATAAAAAGAGATTCTTGCAGTGTGACTCAGTGATGGACTTAACTGAAGGAAGTAAAAGGTGAGGTCACAGGGCAAGGTGATAGGAGAGGATGTGTTACAGGTTCTGGGCAAGAATTGTAATAGCAGGATAAACTTAGAGTGTCAGGAAAAAGCAGCATAAACCTAGAGCATCAGTGTCACCCTTGTAATGACTATTCAGACAATACCTATTAATAGGAAAAAAAGCCCTGCTTGCTTTGTGCGTTATGAAATCTTCCTTCTGTCAGACTATGGAAGTATCATCTCATTTAGATTGTGTTTTATGTCAAGTGCTTCGCTGTGGTTTTTCTTCATAGTTCAGGAGTTCTTTTTCCATCTGTTTCCCTAGGTACGCAATAACAGTGTGGTATTTTGATGCAGATGAAAGAGCACGAGCTAAAGTAAAATATCTAACAGGTAATCTCTTTTTAATGCCTTCTGTGTTCTTTTTTTTCTGGACGAATAGCTGAGTAGTCCAGCCTCATCTCTTTGACCCACCCTGTGCACAGAAAGGGGGAGAAAACCAGTGTAACTCAAGAGTCAGGTCTTACAGGAAAGGTGACCCAGGAAGGTTGAGCTGCTAGGCAGTGGCTTGGGAAATCCAGGTCAGTGCCTTGTCCTGTTTGTACTTCCTCTGAGACCTGAGGCTGCTCAATAGCTTTTTTTTTTTTTTTTTTTTTTTCATAGGAGGAGGAGGGGATGATGATACAGCTTCTCCCTAGTCTTGTCTCCCTAGTAGATGGTGGAGGATAAATACACCAGACACTGTGAGGCGCTGTAGAACCGAGAGCCCTGGAAGTGGTTTTGATGGAATATACTGATTCAGCAAGTGACTACAATTTAACTTGACTAGAACCTCTAAATAGGAGAAACAAAAGCCTAAAATTAAAATCTGGAATCAAAGAATGGAGTTACTTCCTCCATTTCCAATTCCACATATCTAACATCTGTTTTCTTTTTCTGGCTTCTCCCTCAAGAGGAAGTTGATCTAATTTTCCTGTTGAAATTAGCATTATAGGGAGTAATAGCCTAGGACTTCTGTCAGGCTTGTAATTTCCATCACAGTTTTGTATTCGTTACAGTAGTTAAAAAAAAAGACCAAAATCGGGTCTACTGCAAGTGCACACACACACAGGGCCAGCTTCTCCACGTCAAGAGCTCTGAAATGGGTGGCGTTGAAGAGATGCGCCAGACATTTCCAGATGAGATTTCCATTCACTGCTGTGAAGCTCCCGAGTAGCCCCAGAGCTATGTAGTGACTGCCAGAGCTGCAGTGCAGCTCGGCCCCCTGGGCGCAGGGAGAGCAGTGCAGCTGCTGCTCGGGTGGCTCCTGCGCTGTGTGCGGAGCGGGCCCGGCCC